TTTCCAAAAAAGATACTAATTTTATATAGAGTCAAATCTCAAATATAATAGAGTCAAATCTCTTTAGGTTATCATTGTTTATCTTTTTTTCAAGAATCAATTTCCTATTACACTTCATTCTTTCAAATAACTCAGCCTTTGGTCCACTTGTTTTACCACCAGTAAGAACACTTGAAAAGTGCTGAAATACATATATATTTCAAATCATTTAACTAAATTTTAACAATAAGATTAATCATTGAATTCATCGAGAAATATTCACCATTAAATATACAAATAAATATAAAAATACTTTATAATTTTTTCAATATTTACCTTTATATGTAATTCATAGACATGATAACGACAAGCCATCCAAAGCAAAGCTTTTCATCCCCACTGCTCAATTAGAGTACAGACCCCTTTTAGCCAACCAGTATTTGTGACTGTGGTGTCAAAGGACAGACAATCAACATAGTCAAATAGCTCTCAGTCTGTTAAAAATTTTTTAATTGCGTTTCTAAAAGACTCAGCAGTGCCATCTTTCACAAATAAATACCCAAAAGTTGTGATTCTGAAAGATCTGGTGAACTGATTAGTACAGCTACTCTTTCAACTTTTTCTTTACCAAGTTCTTTCATTTCTACCATAATTTTTTAGTCAAAATGCACAGTAAGACTTTTACCTTTAGCCAATATAATAAAGTTTACAGGCAGTTTTACTTATACTTAATTTTTTCTGTCTCAAAATACTTCGTTTAGAAATAGAAAAATTATAAACAGAACTGTTATTTATTAGAGAAGCGAGAGTTGTATTCAGTGCAGTAGAACTTTTTCCATATCGTGATGCTGTTGGAGCTAAATCTTTTCCTATATTTTTTGGAATAATAAAAGGTACAGAATTAGATTTTTTAACTTTTCTAGAAGGCTGTAGATACTGTTCATCTTGGTCATTATCGAAAGTATTTAAAACATCTTTTTTCAAAACCAAATTTGTACTAAAACGGTTCCGGTGTTTGTTCAAATCTTTTCTCTTCTTTTTTAAGTCAACAATCTTGTCTCTAAAACAAAAGTAAAAGAATGCATTAAAATTAATGTAATTTATAATAAATATATATAATTTTATGATTTTATAATTTTTACTTATATAAAATTAATTTAAAATTGGATAAAACCAAAAATTTAAAATCATTTTAATAAAATAAAAACCTGATGTGCTTGTCAGTATTAGTGTAAGGAATTCCTGCTTTTTGCCAAATTTTCTTCACCTCGTAAAGGACACATGGTAAACCTTTTTGGAGACAACCACCTATTTCAGCACATTGTGCAGTAAAAAAATTTCCTAGAGAACATGAAGCTATACTAACTGAAGAAATATTTGGAAAATCAGCTCTTAGCATAAGATCTCTGTAATGGTAATATTGCAATACGGTTTTTTTAGTTGGCAATTGTGTGATAGGTATTGTTCCAATTCTTTTTCCAACAAGAAAAACTTCACGATGAGATATTTTTCCAAATCTATTGCTTGTTGACATTATTTTAATTTAAACTAAAATAAAAATTTTAAAAATTGCAGATTTTTTTTAACTTACCCCCCCCCCGCCTCCCAAATATACACAGCATGTATTTAAATGGGTAGGGCTGACCATTTACATCATCTTTTGCAATAAAACAAATCATAATCTAAAATTAAATATATCAGGCTACTAAATTAACACTTAATATATCTTAGAAATATTTGTAAGTGAACCTGCCCCCCTCATTATTTACAAAAAATAAAAATTTTGGTATTTTCGAACCACTGTGACCAACCATAGGGGTACCCATTAAAAAAAAAATTATGTCATTTTAATACATATATCAAAAGGAACCAGAAAAATTATTATGGTATTCTTTTATTGACTTGGGTGTTTTATGCCTCACCCTAATATATATATATACATATATATATATATATATATATATATATATATATATATATATATATATATATATATATATATATATATATATATATATATATATATATATATATATATATATATATATATATATATATATATATATATATATATATATATATATGGTCACTTTCTTATAAGTCAAAAAAAAAAAAACAATTTTAAACTGGTAAGTCAGCATAAAAATACACAAAATATAAGTAAAAATACTTATGCTATCAAGTTGGAATTTAGAGAAAACACATTAATAAAGTGTCTGAAGCAAGGTTGTTTTATATTTATGTCTTTTCATAATGGGAGTTGTGTTAAGCAGGGGCGGATCCAGAATTTTTTTGTATTAAAGTACATAATTTTCAGGAAAGTTCTAAACTCCAAATTTTTGTATTTTAATATATTAAAATACAAAAATTTGGCTAAAGTATACTTTGACTAAAGTATGACTAAAGTATACTTTAGTCATTTAAGGATGATTTGTCAAAAATTCTATTGCCTAGGAACCAAAAATCCCTAAAAAGTAGGCATCACCTACCCAATTGTGGGGGAATCAGTTTTTCTAAATATAAATTCTAATATCCTTAATTAAGTGGTTATATCGTTAAGGTTTTAAATTTTTTTGAAAAATATTATTTTGTTTAGAAATTATATCCAGTTTGAATTAAAAACCCCCTCGTTTTGAGGGGGCTTAAATCATTAAATGGCTATAACTTTTAAACACTAAATGATTTTTTTGATCAAAATTTAAATATAAATACACATTTGAATTTTATTAAATGAAGAAACTTTTTTTTTTTCGAAAAATCATTTCCTCTAATTTGGGCGGGTGATGCCTACTATTTAGGGTATTTTTGTTCCCAGGCTCTAATCAACGCAATTTTTGGCAAAGCATTCTTAAATGAAATAAGTTTGAGCATAAAAAAGTTTGGAGTTTAGAACTTACTTGAAAGTTATTTAACTCAAGCACCAAAAAATATTAGATCCGTCCCTATTAAGAAACAATCAAAATATTTTACTAAAGGTTAACAAAGAAATTCAATTCATTCAATTCATTACACTGTTATCAATTATTTGGATTTTTTAGGAGAGAGAATGGAGAGCAACTTGTTTTCGATTCTTCATGTTAATATTAGAAGCATTTAAAATATTTTGATTTATTAAAACAACTCTTATATAAAGTTAATATTAATTTTCAAATTACGTCAGCCAAATTATCACCAATGACTTCATAAATATAAAGATAAAAACTTTAAACAGAAATTTCCGATCATTTCCCCATACTCATAAATACTCATAAATATGATAAAGGTGATTTAATAAAAAAATTACAAATATATTTATAAACGACTCTTTAGTTAAATATAATTTTTTCCTTTTAATTTTAGTTAAATATTTACAAACTAACCCAATGGTTTAAGTCCAATAAATTATCTCTAAATAATACTAAAATTAAATAAAGCAATATTGCATAGAGCTCATAAAAAAAAGTATACTATTAAACAGCCGAGGTTGATTGTCGAGGGGAAGGCAGGGAACTGAGTTAGAAACGACAGCGAATGGGGATGGCAAATCAGCCCCCCGAAGCATTTTTTTTGTGAACCGCACTGGTAGTAAATATAATTTATCGATGCTTTTGTGTGCCTTTTATTATAACTATTAAGTACGGCTCATAAGAACATCATACGGAATAGTGACAATTATAAGGCGGTCTTAATGACGTCTGTTCCCACTGGGTTAAAGCAAAATGATTTATTGATAACTCGAAGTCAATGCTACAGCAAGCTCACATTCGATTAAAATTAAATCTAAAAAGTCATGTTTTGATCAACAATGACATGTTTTGTCATTGCTGTTCACAGATTTTTGTAAAATTTTAGTTTACTGAAACCTATTTTGTTATAAGCAGATGAAGGTGGAAGAGTCAGTCCAATTTTGTAGAGTACAGGCAAGTTGCAAAAACATGATGTCATATACTGCTCTAATAAAAATAAATGTATGCCTTTCATTTGTCATTGCTGGAGATATTGATGCTTTAAAGGTAGGATCGGCGTGATTAGTTTTCAAGTGGGGAAAGGGTGCCATACTGGTTTTCGTCAAAAGGTCTAAATTGCTTTACAATTTTGAAATTAGTTAAAGTATAATTTTTTGTTTTTCTACTCAAAAAAAAAAGTTGTTTACCGTTTCGTGACCTGCGTGCTTATTTATTTCAACTCCATTTTAAAATGTTAAAAAATTTTTTCTGCGTTAATGTCTAAAAATGAAAATAAAACTTTTTTTTTAATAAATAATTAGTAAATTTAATAGCAAATATTATTTTCAATAGTTATTATTAAAATTTAAAATTTATTGCATAAATAGTTGTTACTTTTAGAAGATCACTTAATATTTTCTCCCAACATTTTAAAATGGAGATGGAATAAATAAGCACTCAGGTCGTGGTTTGCAAAGTCGTTTTAGTTTTATGAATATCTGTCACTGTATACATTGACAGATATTCATAAACACATATATATTTTTCAAACACATATATATATTTTAAACACATATATATTTTAAACACATAAACACACACACACACACACACACACACACACACACACACACACACACACACACACACACACACACACACACACACACACACACACATATATATATATATATATATATATATATATATATATATATATATACATGTACAAAAATGAGTACATAACGACTATAAGAGGTATTTAATTAAAAGAAAATATCTCTGTTTCGTTTTCTGTCATAAATGCGTGCAAATTTGTAAAGCAGCTATTTAAACGATGGTCTGATGATACATAGTTTTCTATTTCCGTTTAAATTAAATACAGAATTTTATAATGAGAAACATATATATTAGGAAGCGCCAGTTGACTAGCTTAGAAAGCGCGGTAAAAAGCCTTTCCCCATTCCCCTCCTTCTCTAAGCCCTATTCTGAATCCGCCAATGCTACTAAAACTTCAGAATCTTTTTATTGATAATAATATAATAAAAAAAGAAAATGTCAGGAAAATATAATTAATAAAAATAATATAGTTTTGATAAATAAAAATAATATAAAGCAATAAATAAAAAAATAAATATAACAAAAAAGGAAATGTTTTTAATCGTAATTCTTGATGAAAACGTTTCACGGAGAAACATATAAATGTAATTGAAAATAAAATTTCAAAAAACATTGGTGTATTGAAAAAAAATAAACAATTTTTAAACAAATCTTTTTTGAAATAGAGGAGAGTTGCCGAAATTGGAACAGCGCCTTAATTGGAATACTTGCGTTTATTTTTGAATAAAAATAAACTATTGCTTTATTTTCCATTTTTTTAGTAAAACGCATTATTTTTTACGTTTTGACACATTCTGAAAGTTATTCCTCAAAAAATGCGTTTGCAACATTGATTTAAAGTTTTTTTGCGTCATTTTTTTTCAGCGATCTAATTTTGTGTTCACACTATATTGATTGCGCTGGGTAAACTATGGTACTATAGGTTATACCGTTTTTTGTGTTTAATTCAATGGTACTTAAAATGCAAAATAACAATATAAACTTATTTTATAAGTTGCTGCAAGCATGTTATTGTAGTGATATAACAAAATAGTCGAAAGTTTCCATGATTGGAACATTGAAGTTTTTCTTGCCTAATGAGTAATAAAATCAATGGGTTGTAAAAATCTTTCGAGTGCAATCAAAAAAATACTTAGTAACAACCATAAACCTTAAAAATAATACTTTTAGTGATTTTTAATCAATAAGTTAAAAGAACATTATAACAGTTGAAGGTTTATACAAATGGTTTATACAAATATACAAATATAAAATAATGGTTTATACAAAGGTTTATACAAATTTTCGTTTGTAGACTTTAAATTTTCGTTTGTAGACTTTAAATTTTCGTTTGTAGACTTTAAACTTTCGTTTGTAGACTTTTTTGTCAAATCCTACAATCGATTTGGAATTGTTTAAATTTTCACTGTGAATATGAAAATCATTTTTTAAAAATTTTTGTTAATTTTACTGGATTTTTTTCTTTTAAAAAAAAAACCTGTTCTGATGAAGTAATCAAAGTGTTCCAATTTAGGGAACCAGTTGCCTTAATTGGAACAAAATGGTAACTTTGAAAAAACAAATTTATTTCCAATAACAGTGCAATCAATTTAAGTCAAACTGTGGTTGAAAGTATAGTAAAGATGTCTATATTATTCAAATCATAAATGTTTTAAGCCATCTTTGGTTAATAAATATTTATTCCTAAATTGTTCCAATTAAGGCCACTCTCCATATACTTTTCATTTATACATCGTTACCTAAATTATGAAAACATTGCTTGGCGCAGCACCACTGTTACAAAACTAAGTAAACTTCTCAGCAAACAAAAACATAAATTTAAGATTATTGTATACGAAAATCGTCTTCCCCATGCAAAAACACTTTTTAGTAGACTTAATATAATTCTAAATATTATAATTATATATATCTTATAATTCTAAATAATATCTTATAATTCTAAATGCTTTTAAATTAAACCTTTATCATGCTCTTATATTTTTGTTTAAATTTGATAAAAAAACGTTGTTGTTTAACTAATTATTTAAAAAAATAGTCATATATACCAAACAACATTTTCAAATAATAACTATATTCAATTTAAAACCTACTATTCAAAAACTAAATTAACAAACCGAGGACCATAATTATGGAATAGAACTTTAAACGATCCTTTTAAACACTTTCTTCGCATAATAAATTTAAAACGAAACATAAACAAAATCTTCTACTAAACGACAATGAATAGAAATTTCTCATAGTGCGTTTAAATAGAGTATTCTGATGATTGATTTCTTTTTTAACAGAATGAATATATTTATTAACTTTATATATATGCAAAAAAAAAATTAAAAATGTTGTACATTGTTTATTACTGAGGGTGTAAAAAATTGTTTTTTTTAAAATCGTGTTATGTATAGTTCAAACTCACTTGTATGTATGTGGAGGAATTTTTGTTTTATATATATACATATATATATTTTTTTGTTTTATATATATATATATATGAGGGTGTAAAAAATTGTTTTTTTTAAAATCGTGTTATGTATAGTTCAAACTCACTTGTATGTATGTGGAGGAATTTTTGTTTTATATATATACATATATATATTTTTTTGTTTTATATATATATATATATGAGGGTGTAAAAAATTGTTTTTTTTAAAATCGTGTTATGTATAGTTCAAACTCACTTGTATGTATGTGGAGGAATTTTTGTTTTATATATATACATATATATTTTTTTTTGTTTTATATATATATATATATATATATATATATATATATATATATATATATATATATATATATATATTTATATATATATATATATATATATATATATATATATATATATATATTTATATATATATATATTTATATATATATATATATATATTTATATATATATATATATATTTATATACATATATATATATAAATATATATATATATATATAAATATATATATATATATATATATATATATATATATATATATATATATATATATATATATATATATATATATATATATATATATATATATATATATATATATATATATACACATATATATACATACACATACACACATATATAAATATATTTGTTTTCCATATTAGTTTGAAAAACAGTGCATAGAAACATTTAGTTTTGACTTTGTTTAAGATGTCGTTTTTGTGTAATATGAGCATGCGCAAATTAATCAGTAGGCGCGGATCTAAGGTACAGCTGTCGTCGTAAGGTAAGGTCGTCGCTGTCGTCGTAAGGTAAGGTTGTCGCTGTCGTGGCAAAGACTACTCCTTAAAATAATCAACGAAACAAAAAACAAAATCGGCTTTAAAAGCAATTACTTAAAACTAAAAAAACCCGGAATAAAAACAGAGATCGGTCATTGCATGTCGATTTGTGGCTAAGCCATAAACGACCTGATTTTACAGCATAGGCTGACTATATTATGGTTTTTTTTATTGTAACATATTTTTATTGTAAAATCGTATGCTGTCAATACTCAAAGCCCGTGGCGAGAATGTTTTTATCCTTGTGGCTGTACTTATTAACCAGTTTTTTTGTGACCATTTATATTCAAATAACCCAAGCGCCTTTATTATTTTCTAAGTAAGTTGGTTATTATGGCGGATATGTTTTGAAAGAATACTGTACCAAATGCTATTCATACTTCTCATATTTAAAATATAAAATGCTGCAAAAAAGAATTGTTTATAAAACTAAATGATTTAAATATCTCACCAGTTTAATTTATTGATAAACTAGAATAACAAATATAAGCGTATATATTTTGGTTTTATTTATATTATTTTTAATCTTTACTCCATTCATCAGTTGCTATGATTATTTTAAAAGTTAGTACTTTTTAATCTGTAAATAGACTTAATATTAATTTCAAACTTATTAAATTATTTATTTTTTATTACTTTTTTTTACCTTCATCTACAAGTAATAAGTTTAACAATTATTAATTTTTAATTTGTTTGCATTTCTCAACAATTGCAAATTTAATTTTTATTAAAACTTTTTGTCTTAGTTCCATGCTCAACTGTATTAAGTGGTAAGCTTAAAAAATTTTTTATCGTATCTTTTAAAAAACCTCTTCATATATGTATGTATTTCAGATTACTTGCAATACTTATTTTTTATTACTTTTTTTTAACTTTAGCTACATCTTCATCTACAACAATTGGTAAATTTAACAATTATCATTTTTTAATATGTTTGCATTTCTCAACAATTTAAAATTTAATTTATATTAAAATTTTTTTGCCTTACTTCCATCTTCAACTATATTGAGTGGTAAGCTTAAAAATGTTTTTATTGTATCTTTTAAAAAACCTGTACATAAATGTATGTATTTCAGATCACTTGCAATATTTATTTTTTTTTTACACTTTTTAACCTTAGTTCCATCTACATGTGCTATAAATGGTATGTTTACAAGTTATTACTTTTCAATATGTTTATGCATTTCTTAGCAATCGCAATTTTTATTTTTTATTACAACTTTGTTAACCTTTAGTTGCTCCTACAAGTGCTAACCAAGCTGTAGCAGCTGCTACAAGTGGTAATACTTATAAACTATTATTTTTTATTTAAATGTATCTTTTATGTATGTAAAAAAATGTTGTTTCAAATTTATTTCCTATATATTGCAAATAAAATTTGATTCTATTACAACTTTTTTTTATCTTTAGTCCCACAACCTCCTCAAAATGCTTCACAACCTGCTGGTAAATTTATGATTTAGAAATGTTTCTGAATAATTATTTAATTCATAATTATTATTTAATATATTGATATATTGATATAGAGACCCTGGACCAACTAGCAATTGATCATTTTTGCGATGGGTCCGGTGAGGAGGGAGTGATGGCGAATCATCTAGCTGGACCTATCATCCTCCTAACAGGGGTGCTGGGAGCAGAAGGGGATATCACCATGGAGGAGAGCGTGGTTTTAATTATATATATAATTATTTTGTATTTCAAAACTTTTTAAAATATAAGTTTTAAAATTTTGGCTAATTTTTAAAAATATAAGTTTTAAAACTTTAGCTAATTTTTAGGCTGGATACTCCAACATGCATCTTGTAATGTGGTAAGATTTGTAAAGTTATGACACTAAAACCTTTTTTCAAATAACTTTTACAATTTTTATTTTAGCTTGGAGAAGACTGAGAAGGGTGGGAGGGGGAGAAGCGTTAAGCGTGCCATTGTCCTCCCATTAATGTCAATTTATGCACCACTTGTATATGCTGTTAAGAAAGAAAATATAATTTAAACTTTTTAACCCAAAATTTAATCAGTATTTTTTAGGCTAAAATATTTATAAGAATGTAACATTTCACAACGAGGATGCTAATACGTAACAAAGACATCCACCCTTTAATCTAAATAGACAAACTAATATTTGAAAATGTAATAAAAGCAAATTAGAACAACTTTTTGCGTATAAAGATTACAAATTTTATCAGAAAAACCCTCTTTCGTGTAAAAAAATTGTATTTTTTTAAGGTTACGATGGTGTTCCGATACCCCTTCTAGACACCCCTTTTATCTATAGAGTTATATGAACTTGTAGCCTACTCTTACATCTATCTTTTGATACCAAGGTATAGACATTTGGATAAGATTTGACAAAGTTATAACAATTTCAATTAAAAAAAAAAAATTTTAGAACCAATTTCTTCAAAAAACCCATATATAAAAAATTTGCTAACAAAAACTTCATAACTTTTTTTTAAATTGTTCGTTTTTAATAATTTTAGAGCCATTAAAATCCTTCATTAGAGGGCTTTCTAATGAAAAATAACATTCTAGTATATTCTCAATTAAAAAAACTCAGTCCACCTACCTACTTATTGTTATAACATTCTTATAAGATTTAACTTTTACATTGGTACCGTCAACGGGGGTAACAATGAACGCTTTTTAAATGTATTTGTATCATAAAACAAAAAAGTTAGTCAAATCGCTACTTGTTCTTTTAACAGAACGTTATACTATATAGCTTCCAGAATCAGTTCTAGGCCTGATAAATATTATAGAGTAAATACCTTAATTTTCTTATTTTATTCAAGCGTATTCGTATTTTTAAAACGGGGTGAGAATCCCAAAAACGAATTTATTAAGAATCGTTACAGTGTCTTTACCACCAGGGTCTTTATTATTTCCAGGAAGACGTTTTAACACCTCTGCTTTGTTTATAGGATAGATTCCTGTTGCATGTAATCCGGAAATTAAAGCTTCTGGTTGCAAGGTGTTTACTAACTTGTTTAAAAGAGTAGGCATATGTTTTTTTGAATAGTACCTTTATAACAACTTTCTATTCTTTACTTTAAAGGTACAGTCCTCCATGACTGCTTTAATCCTCTAAATACAGCAACATCAGAGATAGGTTGCATGAGGTCGCATTGTTACAAACTTGATGTCATGATGAATCGTGGCTTCAATAACTTCAAGAGAAAAATGTGAACCCAGATTATCATCAATCAGCTATGTTGTTACGGTTTTTAAAACAGAAATAGGCAAGAATATCTCTGTGAACCATCTGGTAAATGTTCTAATATCAAACCACCCATTAGTGATGATATCGTATGCGGTTCTAGGTAGTCCACCTTTAATCCAACCCTAATAGAGATTCTTTGCTTTATAAACAACCATAGGCGGTAAAAATTCTCCAACAGCGTTACCAGCAAACATAATGCTAGTTGATTGCTTTGAATGTTCCTGTTTGTTTTCAACACGATGTCCATGTCCACGACGAACAAAAATAGCTTTGAACCCTGGGTTATCTGTTATATTGGTCTTGTTATAATTATAGATGTTTTCTTGAAGTATATCCTTTAACTCTTAGTATAAGTTGTTAAAATAACGGTTAAGGGTTTCTTTATTGACTGTGCTTAACATTGTCAGCAACCCTTTTTTTTGTCAGCAACCCTTTTTTTTGTCAGCAACCCTTTTTTTTGTCAGCAACCCTTTTTTTTGTCAACAACCCTTTTTTTTGTCAAACAATGTCTTTTCATGAAAAACTGAACCCAATCTATCTTTTGATACAGCTTTTGATAAAATCTTTTGATAAGAAACACAACCATTTTTGATAAAGGAAAATTTGTATTGGGAGTTTTTATTGATCTTACAAAAGCTTTCGATACTGTCAACCATAAAATTCTGCTCGACAAAATGAGAAAATACGGTATAAAATACGAAACTATTAAATGGTTCACTAATTATTTAAATAACAGACAACAATGTTTTATAATACAAAGTTATTAAAAATAAAATGTAGTGTCCCCCAAGGATCTATTCTTGCACCTTTATTATTTCTTATCTACATTAACAATCTCCCTAAAGCCTCTCCAAATCTCAATTGTATAGTATTTGCAGATGATACCAATCTGTTTTACTCATCTACCTCTATCAACGATCTTTTTGATAAAGTCAACATTGAGCTTCAAAAACTTAAAACATGGTTCAGTGCTAAAATGCTATCATTAAAGTATCGAACACAAACAAATTGAAAGAACCCAAACAATTAAATTTCTTGGTGTGATAATTGACGAAAACATTTCATGGACAGCTCATATAAATGCCATCAATACTAAAATATCTAAAAGTGTTGGTATACTTTTTAAAGCTAGACCATTTTTATCACAAAAAAACCTAAAACTTCTTTACTTTTCCTTTATACATAGTTATCTCACATATGCCAACATTGCTTGGGGAAGCACACACAAGACAAAGTTAATGTCCCTTTATCGACGGCAAAAACATGCCTCTAGAATAATACATCATAAGAACAAACTGACCCACGTTAAATCCCTAATAAAAGAAATGAAAGCCCTAAACATTTACTAAATTAATATCTATGCTAATATATTGTTCATGCTAAAGTACAAATTAGGATTAGTTCCAAACCAATTTAAAGAAAATTTCTTTCAATCTAATATCAACAAGTTTAAAACAAAAGCAACTGGTAACTTTATTGTACCCCGGAAAAAAAAAAATAAATTCTCAATTTTCTATTTCTTATCGCGGCCCTTATTTATATAACAAATTAATTTCGAATTATACCTCAATTTCTCTTGCTTACAATATAACTTCTTTAAAGTCAAAACTGAAAAATCATGTTCTCAATACAAATAATTACTTAGAAATGTTTTAGTTCTAATGATAAATTAATATTTACGCTCACATTCAAATAATCAGCAATCAATCAAAAATGAAAATGCATTTTTTTAAAAATTTAAAAAATAAAGCTAATATTATTATTATAAACCACAACACTAATACCATACATAGTATAACAAAAAGAAAAAAAAAGTCTACATCAAAAACATTTAAAATATTTGTTTTATGAGAATCATGTTTATATGTGTAATTTACGCAATACCCCAGAGTTCTCAATGATAAGACTAATCTCAGTCTTCTACGAGCTCCCTACAACAGTCAAACCCTTATCAAGTCATAGTATATTTAATTATTGCTTCGTATGTTTATCTTAACGGTATTTTGTAAAATATTATTATTTTTTTGTATTGGAAGTAGGGAAAACTGGGGTAAAATGGGGTACTTAAGAATGAAAACCTATAAAAGTCACAAAAATAAAAAAATGAAATGAAAATAAATGTTGAAACATCAGAATACACTATAGACAACATTGTAACAAAACAGCAAGTCAAAAGAATGTAAATTAATTGATTTATTACATTTTTTAAAAAATAACATAAAAACCCCATTTTACCCCAAGCATGGGGTAAAACGGGGTAATGGAAGGGGCAAAATGGGGTCAAAGGAGGAACTCAAACAAATATGATAATTTTTTGACAGATTTGTTTTTCTTTGGATTCTTTTTTTTTTTGCTTCAGGCTTTCTCAGTGACAAATGTTTGGCATGTCTCAACATAAAACCCTGATACCAGTCGTAACCGGCCACCCCCAACTCTTTATTAAATTTATGAGCCTTTTTATTTTTTTCAGCCAGTTCAAAGGCAAGTTTTCTCAGCTCATAGGAGGTTAGGCCAAAAAGCATTTTCTCCATCTGCTGAACATACTGAACAAGTTCTGCCTCCTCTTCCAATGTAAAGATAGTTTTGAATGCGCCTAGCGCTGAAAAAGAAATTAAAATTAAAACTTAGAATTAACTAAATAAAGATGCTTTTCATACAAATTCATTTATTTAGAACATATACCATAGCCTATTTTCTGGCATTTAATTTAATATTTAAAAATGTGAAAAATTCCTAAATTTAGATTGTGCTTAATCCATTTACTTACTCTTTTTGCAAGCATCCTCAATATCAGGATTTTAATTTTCTTAAGTTTAGCCACTCTGCGTTCGAGGGTTGTCTGTGGCACACCATACATTGCAGCTGCCTTTTTATACCCATGATCACCATTGATCACAGACAGTACAGCCTGCTGCATTTCGGTTCCATTCCAAGTTTGGCGTTCAGATATTCTTTTGTAATTTCTCATTTTTTTCAAAGATAATAATCTGAAAAAATAAAATAAAACAACTTTAATAGTACAATTCAGTAAGAACTAAACAAATAGGCCTACTATTATTATAATAAAATTTCAGAATTATTTTTTTACTTAGCTAGACTACTTAGACTTAGATGTGGGGAATTTATTTTATGTTTCCCTGAGACACTAAATGAATCACTATTTGTTTATCGCTTACTACTGACCTTTCATGGAAACCATATATACAATCGATTGCTAAATTAGCTTCTGCTAAGGTTGCTTCTCTTTATCGTGCTCGCCATTTTCTTACTTCTGATTCCATTTTCTAACTCTACAAATCTCTTATTCGTCCCTGTATGGAATACTGTTGTCATATTTGGGCTGGTTCTTCTAACGGTTCACTTTCTCTTCTTGACAAGGTCCAAAACGCATTGTAAATGTTGTTGGACCTGGACTATCTGCTAAGCTTGAACCTCTTTCCCATCGTCGTAAAGTTGCATCTCTTTCTCTTTTCTACAGATACTATCATGATCACTGCTTAAAGGAGTTATCATCTCTAGTTCCATCAACTAAAATTCATTCTCGTTTTACTCGTCATTCAGCTAAGTCTCATTCGTTTACTGTATCTGTCCCTGCATGCTCTAAAAACTTTTATTCATCTAGTTTTTTTCCCCGCACTTCAATCCTTTAGAACTCTCTCGCATCTTCATGTTTTCCTGACTCATACAACCTTCAACTTTTCAAGTCTTCTGTCAACCGTTTCCTTGCTCTATAACTCTGTTCTTTTTTTTCCTAGTAACTCCTAACTTGATAGTGGTTGCTTGCAGCCT